CGGCGGATTATGACCAGGATCGCTTGCTACCTCCTCCGTGTCTTCGCGCACGGTGTATAAGCCGTGCATGTCTGGTGGTGAGTGTTTCCACCGACCGCGCGATATGAGTTGTCTCCCTCCGCCCTGCTCCCTTCCTTCGCCTTCCTCTACATGTCCATCGTGTCCTGTCCGTTCCACAGGCTCGGTTTGTGACGCCACTTGCGCCATTGGCGGCGTGGCACAGTTTTTTTAATGATCCCCCAGCCCGCCCACAACAGTCGAGTTGGCCGCGAATGTGCACGTTTGCTTGTTTCTCTCCTGTTTCTCCTCCCCCCCTATGCCGATTGGGCAATTGGGTATTTTGCGTTACGGTATTATCCCACGGCGCGTTTTGTTGCCCGTTTTCGGCTTACGCAGGTTGGCCATTGCGTCGGTCTTGGTGTGGTTGCGCGTTTTTGTTCCGCTCCTCATTCTCGTTTTCGCCCTCCTATGCCTGCCCCGCTGTTTGCTACCATGTTTTGTTGTTCGGTTCCAAACGCGAGTTTTTGCCTCCTGCATGATTGCCCAGGCACAGGGAGTTTTAGGTCCTGCTCGACTGGCCGTGCGGTTTCCCACGAGGCGACGCCAACGCTTCTTCCTTGACCTCGCCTGGCTAGACGCGGTCGTCCAGCAGCCACGGGGCAAAGGTTGGGTGGCTAACGATGGGGTTCTTTCATGCCGCGTTCCACCCTTGCTGGCTGCGTTCTTCGCTTTACCGGCCTCTCACGTGCCTGGCCGCATGCTTCGAAGAGCAAGCTCGGGGACCTCACGCGCGCTTGCTTAAGATTTCGTTACCGATTCCCCCCAACAAATGTTGTTGCTTCGAGCGACCCGCACCGAGGCCTTCGGCGTTTATTCCCGACGGTGCGCGCGCCAACTGGAATGATGCGCGCAGGGCCCAGTGGCATTGGCCACCGCGGCGGCCGGGCCAGGTTGCAAGTTGCCGTTGTGCTAAATCAGACAGCCCCAGATTGTCGTGGGAGGAAAGCCCTTGACGAAAGAATCCGAAACAAGCCCTAGAGCGAAAAACTAACCCCAAGACACGTGGTGTGTGTGTATGGAGACCCCAAAACTTGTTCGGAGAGCATGTGCAACCTGCTGAAAGAGGAGGAAGAGGAGCAGGAGGAGGAGGAGGATGCTGTATCTTGTTGGGTTGTTTTCTGCCCCAGCGTAGGACATTGCATGATGTTATGTCATGTGTTGTGCTGGAAGGGACAGCGTGATGTCGTGACGCCGGTCACGTTAGGTACGTCGTCCAGTCGGTCGTTGTTGCGCTTGTTGGTTCCCGTGGCCAGCCTGACCTCGGCGCGCACGTCGTACTTGATTCGGTAATAGTACGGTATATGGTGCTTCAATGTTCCGTTTCATGTATGCTTCCATATTTTGGTAAGTATGTTATACCTATGCGTTCACTCCTGGCACAGCATGATTTGATGTGTCATGGTGCCTTTTTCTGCGGCACAGTGTTATGGCATGATATGTTCTGTTAGGTTGTGTAAAATTATGCTCTGTTCATTGATGCTGTTTACGCGATGCCCAGTACAGTATATAATATGTAATGAACTGCTCTGGTATGGCATGTCTTTTTAATGACGTTGTAGTCTACGATGTCGTAGTGGCTGCAGTCACGGAACAATCATGTTATGATATGATGGCTCCGTTTTGCCATGTTCACCACATGAGCCGCCTGGGAGCGTCGGGAAGCCGAAGAGGTGAGGACGCCAAAAGCCTTCAACAAAAGCCGCCGGAAAATCTATGCTTTTGGCCCTCTGGGGGGCCCTCGGCGGAGGCCTCTTGAAGGCCTCTCGGGGCGTCTTCGGGACCATTGGGGGGCCATCTGGGGGCCATTTTCAGCGTCTTGGAGCGATCGCTCGGCGACTCGGGGCCCTCGAGGACCCGTCCTGGGGCACTCGTGGGCCCAGAAAGGTCACGCCACAAGACGCGGAAAGGCCCACGAGATCTGTGCATTTGGGTTCCGGGCCCCGTGAGACTCCTCGGGAGCGCTTAGGGATTAGGCCAAAGGACCTGAGAACACGCCCAGTCGGTGCCCAGCGGCATGGTGGCGGACAGTACGTTCATTGCCGCCGTGGTAGCACAGTAATACACATCTGGTATACCATGTTCTGGCATGTCATGCTGTACTGCGTTATGCTCTGCTATGTCATGGTATGCATTGTTATGTTACGTGGTGATCGATGTTGCGTTATGGCACGCTCTGTTCGGACATGGCAGGTTTCTGTATGCTCCGCGCTGCTAATCTACATGTTTAATGATATGTCATACCGCGCTCTGCCATGGCATGCGTTGTCATGCTATGGAATGGTATGTGCTGTGGTGTGTGGTGATGTGGTCCGCCGTGGTATGTTACTGTATGGATGCTGCGACATGTTATGGCATGACATGATATGGTGTGGTATGACATGTGATGGTATGCCATGGATGATACATTGATGGCACGAAATTATGTGTGGTAGTCTGTGCTGTTCTGGATGCATCGATCTGGTAGTGCATGCGTTGCTATGATGTGTTTTGGGGTGTTATGGCATGTCCTGTTCCGACATGGTAGATCATAGTATGCCATGGTTTGCTATTGTATATTATTATGATTGGGGTATGCGACAGTATGGGTGATATATTATGTCGTTGCGGGCGGTGCTATGCTGTGGTATGGTATGCCATGCCATGTTATGTTGTGATATGGCATGTTATTGGACTGTGCTATGCTGCATTCTGAAACTTTCTACTATGGTATGCCGCGTTATGTCATGGTATGCGCTGTCATGTTATGGAATGATGGATTCCGTGATGCCACGTTGTGGCATGATTTGTTCTCTCATGTTGTGTAATGTTATACTATGGTATGTCGTGGTATGTCGTGGCGTGCCATATTATGGTACGGTATGCCGTGTGATTGTATGCTCCATTCTGTCAGGTTCTGTCGTGCTAGTCGAAGGGGCGAGGCGGTCGTCTTGGGGGTTGGGGGATGATCCGTGGACTTGGAGATCTGGCGGTCGCAGTATGCAGAGTGGGCAGGTCGCGCGAGGCGGGAGTCTCGGGGGACTCTCGGTGGGTTTGTGGATCTGGCGATTGCGATGTGCAGCGTGGGCGGGTCGGGACGTCTGTTCTTAAAATCTAGCGGCCCCAGCTTGGCAGATGGGGAACCCAGTACAGTGACGATGGCGATGACGAGCATGATGATTACGGTGGCGATGGTGACGATGATGATGGTGGTGATGATGGTGATGATGGAGGCGTTGATCGTGATGATGACGGATGTGGGAAGAGGAGGGGGGGGAGGCATTATGAAGGGAGAGCAGGGTGCGAGAACGAATTGGACGCAGAGGAAGAGGAAGACGAGAAGGAGCTGATGTTTTGTTGTTTCTTCGGGAATCGTATTTGCCACAAGTGCGTCCCAGTATTGCAGCAGCTTGCGGGAGATCGACGTTCTCAGTCTGAGTGGTTGGAGTTGGTTGACGGTGTTTTCGCCACGGATTTCCCACATGGTTGCGCGCGTCCCCAGTCTTGTCCCCGAGGCGCGCCAGCTTTTGTTTGGTGTGTGCACTGGTCTGTCCGACCCTGAAGAAGAGAAGGATCTTGATGAGGAGGGGGGGGGGGGGCGAAAAAGCAGGAGAAGAACGGCCAGGCTGCCCTGTGAGTATGATCACGTTCTGGGGAATGGAGTTTGAGGGTTGGGAGCCGGAGAGTTGGGAATTACGTGAAGAAGTGGGCATGGGCCAGCTCGAGGTGCTTACCAAGCATCCCAGTTTCGGCGAGCAGCCTTCCTACACCCATCAACAGCTCCATGAACATTGATTCACAAGTTTAGGTGGTGGCAGAGAGCAGCAGCAGGGGGAGGGTGGCAGCGAGGGCGGACAGTGGCTTCCCTACAGCCATTGTTTTCACCTGCCCTCCCCTTCCCTCTCACTCCAGAATGGGTGTCGACCCCATTGTTCCCAGAGGTGGCGGGCGAGTGGAGGATTTCGGTTATGATAATTAGTGGTTGTGTGTGCCGTGTGTGGAGACTTGTGTGCGTGGGCGGAGGAGCTGGAGGACCCTCCTAGACCTTCCCCCGACAGCTCGCAGCAGCCGCAGTTGCAAGCAAGGCTGGCCGTCTGAATTCTGACGCCGACCTGAGCCCAGTACCTAAGCTTCGGCCTGTTCGGTGACTCGGGTTTCGCTGTGGTTATGTGCCTGGAGGAGAAGAGAGGAGGAGTACGAAGAACAGATCGGTCGGGGGAGCAACAGCATCTTCAGCAGCAGCAGGTTCATCAAGAGGTGATGATAGGGAGGACCCGTAGGACGAGGAAGGGGAGGATTTGCAAGAGGAAGGGCAAGAAAAGGAGAGGGAGAAGGATGAGGAGGAAGCGGAGTAGGAGGACGAGAGGGATAGGAGAAGGAGAATATGGGCGACGTGATCACGATGTTGATGGTAATGATGATGATGATGCTGATGATGCTGATGATGATGATGGTGGTGATGGTGGTGGTGGTGATGATGATGATGGTGATGATGGTGATGATGGTGATGATGATAACGGTGATGGTGATGGTGATAGTGATGATGATGATGATGATACTGATGCTGATGATGATGGTGATGAGGATGATGATGGTGCTGATGCTGATGACGATGATGATAATGATGATGATGATGATGATGATGATGATGAAGAGGATGCTGATGACGATGGTGGTGGTGATGATGAAGCTGCTGATGCAGATGATGCTGATACTGATGATGATGATGAGGAGGAGGAGGAGGAAGAGGAGGAGGAGGAGGAGGAGGAGGGGGGAGGTCGGAGGGGTCGGTGAACGATACATTTGTCCGTCTCTCTCTCTCTCACTCCCTCTCCCCCCCTCTATGTATCCACAGATAATATGATTCAATCTAGAATTAGATACACACATATATATATATATATATATATATATATATATGTATGTATCGCTGTCTCGCCGCCCCCCCCCCCCCCCGATCGCAGCCACGGACGCGGCGACGGCGCCATCGGGGCCCCTCGCGGTTCACGGGCCTCTTGGCAAGACGGCTACGGCCAGGAAGCCCGATTGCCGGCCGCGCGCGGGGGGGGGAGGGGGGCGTCGTGGCCTGTCTTCGTGGCAGCGCAGTCGCGCCCCGAGGGGTCAGAGCGCAGGAGGAGGAGGAGGAGGAGGAGGAGGAGAAGGAGGAGCAGTGAAAACCCAAGACTCATCAACGATGTTGGACTCAGCCCTCCCTCCAAGCTCCCTCTTCATAGGCCCCTACATGGATTGATTTCCATTGAGGGAATTGCCCCGGTGGGAGAGGATCGTTTGAAGACTCATAAGCGTGCCAAAAAACGATCCTTGGAACTCCATCCCCTCGAATCAAACTATCCTGACTCGTGCCAGAACGCCGTTCCTGGGACTTCAACACCGCGGATCAACATAAGTGTTCCGCCTTAATCGTTTCAAACATTATTTCTGGTACGTTTACCGAATTTGGAATTTGGAATTTGTTTTAACGAATGTGCGCGCGGCGCTAAGGCGAGAGCAACATTTTGAAAACGGGCCGCCCTCAATCAGTGAAGCTCTCGTCTTTTCAAAATCAATGTGCGCAGCGCTAAGGCGGGAACCACATTTTGAACACGGCCCGCCCTCAATCCGTGAAACCGGTTCAGTTGCGTTCAGCTATTGTTCGCGGCGCTAAAACGACAGCCACATTTTGAAAGCGGCCCGCCCTCAATCCGTGAAGCGTTTCTGCAAATGTTGTTAAACGAATGCACGCGGCGCTAAAGCGAGAGCCACACTTTGAAAAATACCCGCACTCAATCCAGGAAGCGTTTGCAATGTTGTTAAGCGAATTTTCGCGGTGCTAAGGCGATAGCCACATTTTGAAAACCAGCCACCCTCAATCCGTAAAGTTCTTGTAAATGTTTAAGACGAGTGCGAGCGGCTCTAAAACGAGAGCCACATTTTGAAAACCGCCCGCCCTCCATCCTCGAAACTGTTTGCCAGTTCTTAAGCTTCAGGCTTCTAGGCAGTGGGAAAGTATCAGGCGAACATAGAGAAGTTATGTATAAGGAAGGGAATGGAGGATGCGGAGGGAATACAGACAGGAGGAGGAGGAGGAGTAGGAGGAGGAGGAGGCGGAGGAAGAGGAGGAGGACGGAGGGAGGAGGAGGAGGAGGAGGACCCGTGTAAACCCAGGACGTATCAACGATGTTGCAATAAGATGTTCCCCCAAGTCCTCTCTTCATAGACTCCTAGAAGACTTCAGTTTCATTGGAAGACAACCGTCTGAGAGCCTTCAATCGTGCCAAAACACTATTCCTGGGACTTCAACGCAGTGAATTCATGTGACGGTTGCGTCATTGCAGTCCTTCGTCATGCCAGAACGCCATGCTTGGGACTCGAGCACCGCGAATCCATGTGTCTGTGCGCCCTGCAACCCCCACATCGTGCCAGCATACACAACCCCTGGGGCTTCAACGACACGTCAGGACGAGCGCACGCGGCGCTCCGGCGAGAGCCAAAGTTTTTGCGAAGGAGCCGCCCTCTGCATGCTTGACGCTGCTGCAGCCTTTCCATACGGATGTGCGCGGCGTCTAGGCGAATCCTTCTCCTCCCTCCTCCTCCTCCTCCTCCTCCTCCTCCTCCTCCTCCTCCTCCTCCTCCTCCTCCTCCTCCTCCTCCTCCTCCTCCTCCTCCTCCTCCTCCTCATGCTCCTCCTCCTCCTTCTCCTCCTCCTCTTCCTCCTCCTTCTCCTCCTCAGGCTCCTCCTCCTGTTCGGTGGGACAGCTCATTACCCTCGGATGTTTCCGAACGGCCCCAGGGCCAGAAAACGGCCCTGGCCTCAGGGCCCTGAAACGGCCCTGCTGCAAACTTTGTCGACGAATGTGCGCGGCGTTGAGGCGAGAGTCACCTCTTGGAACCCACCCGCTCTTCATCCGCGAAGCTATTGCAAATTGTTGGGCGGGGTCTAGAGTCTCAACCGTCCACGGCATGCTCCCAATTGGCCTATCTGTGAGTTTGTTTTTGTTTGGGCGGGCACTCGAAACTGGTTGAAGGCACCATTGTGGTCACGGAACTCTGGGCGGCCTTCTAGGATAATCCCAAATGATACTCCTTCCTTCCTCCCCCAGCCGCCGCGCTCTCGCGGGTGAGGCACCCCACCCGTGCGTGCGCAGGCGGGGCTAGCTGTCAGGGCCAACATCTGGGGTCAGGCGGTTCCGCCCTCCCTGGTACTTGTGTGGGGAAGGAGAAGGAGGAACGAGGCAGGAGGAGGAGGAGGAGGAGGAGGAGGAGGAGGATAGAGAAGATGGAGAGAGGAGGAGATGGAGGAGGATGTGGAGGAGAAGATGGAGGAGGAGGAGGAGGAGGAGGAGGAGGAGGAGGAGGGAGGAGCGGGAAAAGGAGGAGGAGGTAAGGGGATGAGGGGGCAGGAGGAGGAGGAGGTGGAGGAGTAGGAAACGGAAAAAGAGGTTGGGGAAGGAGGGGAAGGACCCGGAAGGAGGAGGCGAAGGAGGAGGAGAAGGCCGAGAATGAGGAGGAGGAGGAGGAGGAGCAAAGAGGCATCAACGATGTTGGAATAAACCTTCCCTCCAAGCTCCCTCTTCACAGGTCCCATACAACGGTTCATTTCCATTGGGGGAATTGCCTCCAGGAGGAGGCGGAGGACGAGGCGCCCCCATCCCCCTTTCCCCTGCGGTCTGTCCCCCCCTCTGAGGAGCGGGGCGACGACGGCTGGCGGGGCGCGGGCGACGCCCGCGACGCGGAAGGACGGACCGCCCTGATTGATGGGCAGGGAGGAGGAGGAGGGGGGCAGAAGGGAGGAGAGGAGGGCGAGGAGGGGGAGGAGGAGGAGGAGGAGGAGGAGGAGGGGAGGAGGAGGAGGACGAGAGGATGCGGATGTGGAGGAGGAGGGGGGGGGGGGGGAGGAGGAGGGGGGAGGGAGGAGGAGGAGGAGGAGGAGGAGGAGGAGGAGAGGGAGGACGAGGAGGAGGACGAGGAAGGAGGAGTTTGAGGCGGAGGAGGAGGAGGGGGGAGGAGGAGGAGGAGGAGGAGGGAGGAGGAGGAGGAGGAGGAGGAGGAGGAGGAGGAGGAGGGGGGGCAGGGGAGGTGGAGGGGGGAGGAGCAAGGAGGAGGGAGGAGGAGGAGGGGAGGAGGAGGGGGTGGAGGAGGAAGGATGGGGGAGAGGAGGAGGAGGAGGAGGAGGAGGAGGAGGAGGAGGAGGTGGCAGGAGGAGGAGGGGGGAGGAGGAGGAGGAGGAGGAGGAGGAGGAGGAGGAGGAGGAGGAGGAGGAGGAGGAGCAGAGGAGAAACGGGGAGGAGGGAGGAGGAGGAGGAGGAGCAGGAGGAGGAGGAGGAGGAGCAGGAGGAGCAGAAGACGAGGACGAGGGACGAGGACGAGGACGAGGACGAGGACGAGGAGGAGGAGGAGGGGGGAGGGAGGAGGAGGAGGAGGAGGGGGGAGGAGGAGGAGGAGGAGGAGGAGGAGGAGGAGGAGGAGGGGAGGAGGAGGAGGAGAAAGAGGAGGAGGAGGAGGCGGATGATGAGGAGGGAGGAGGAGGAGGAGGAGGAGGAAAAGGGGGAGGCAGGAGGAGGAGGGGAGGAGGGGGAGAGGAGGAGGAGGGGAGTAGGAGGGGAGGAGGAGGAGGAGCAGGAGGAATTGGGTTTCGTTCTCTCCCCCCCCCCCCATGGCAGGAGGAGAAAGAGGATGAGGAGCAGGAGGAGTTGGCTCAAGGCTCGAGGCATTCTGGCTCAAGGCAAGGCCGCTTTCTTGTATCAGTGAGGCCGCGCCCTGACATGTCGCGATGGCGTGCAACCCGATCGGAGACTCGCACCTCGAATAATGAGGAAACCTTCAGAGAACCCAAATACAATGCGCAACACCGTCGGGAACGAAGGAGGATGACCGACAGCATCTGCAGCAAGTTGACGGACTTGGAGATGAAGGCCGATGCCAACATGTGCACATACGAGGGTATGCAGCATTCGACTGGTCAAATGCAATGGACGATGCACGGCGTCAGCCTTTCGGAGCAAGATACGTTTTCCAACATCATGGGTTTCCAAGCACGCTTAGACAAAACAATGATTCAAAAGCGATGGGGTGAGAGATATGCAGGCGGTGAACCCAGCGAAATACTTATCACAACTGACGAGGGCTCGCAGTCCAAGCCCAAAGCCCAGGAAGACGGTATCCGAATTTGACGCTTAAGCAAACGCGTGGTTGGACATATTGGAAACGATATTGGAAACATGTCACCCGCCACTTTGACCAGCCGTTGATGATATGTGGAACGAGCTAATACCCCGTACGAGGCGAGGCGAAATTCGAGCCCATGGTGGAGAACAGCTCTGGATCAGAGCACATTGATCCGCTTGATGTTGATGGTGTAACCAAATTTCGCAAACAAAAAAAATGAAAGCCTTTGTGAATTTTACAACTGTGCACATACATCGCGCGACGCGCACGTTGGCCACGAATTACTCGGAGGTCGCAGAAATCGTCGTGTCCCGAGGGAAGCGGTACTGCACAGAGAATCCAGACGCCAACAAGTATGATTATTTGAGAGCTTGCGAACACATCCTGCGGCTATGCCCCCGTGCACCGACTACGAGTCTTACCAAAGGACAGTTCGAGAAGGTGTACGGCGACGTGCACCGATTTGGCATTCGGCGAGTAACGCGCAGCCGGCTTCATGGTGGCACCGGTGATCTTTTGAGCAAGTCCGAGACTTTCCTGATGATAGTGCACGCAGCTTTTGTTTCAATGCCGACGTCAGCAATATAATGATGTTGACAGGTTGCGCGAGGCACGCACTTCCCCCCGATGTCGGTTTCATCATTCCGTCAAGCAGTGTTCCAAGGAGGCCACAGTTTTGGGGAACGCCCCAAACCGTGATCAGAGCAGGGGCGCTCCAGGGCGAATCTTTCTGCTGAGAGGCTACGGCCTCACCGAGCAGGCCGCTTAGTCGGCCCGTCTCCCCCCGGGGACGTCTCGCGCGTCCGTCCGTCCGTCCGCCCCCAGGGTATTAAAGCTCGATCGCTGAATCGTTTAAACCGCTCGCCCCCCCCCCCCCCACGCGCGGCTCCCCGATGGCGGAGTGCCTCGAGCCTAGGGAGCAGGGCGCTCCTCGGGCCCTCCACCCCAGTCGCCCGCGCGCTGGCTAGGCCACTGGAGCGATCAGCAGCTTCTCTCGCTCCACCTCGCTCAAGATGTGGAGCACACCCTGAGCACGGTTCGATTGCGGATGCAAGCCATGAAGCACACGGCGATAAGGGAGAGGCGGAGAGGGGGAGGAGCGCAAGCTAGGTACACTCGCGTCATATCTGACATCCGACCCCTCCCTCCCATCCCTTACCATAGCGTAGATTTCCGTCGAGCAGGGCAATGATCGCAAGAGGGTACGCGATGCATGGTAGAGCACGGCATGGCATGGCGTAGAAGAGCACGGCAGAACGTAGTACGCCATTGCATGGCGTGGCATTGCGCAGTGAAGCATTGATTGCATCACGAAGCATTGCAACGCAAAGCGTGGCATCGCACAGCGGCGCAGAACACAACACCACACAGCATGTCATGGCAGTGCGCCGGGTTCCTTGGAGGGTAAATGGATCGTATTCGAGAAGTCTGGGCCGGTCTCGAGTCGTGGTTCCATGTCTAGTTCTTTGGGCCCCCGGAAAAGCTCCACGCAAGGCGGGGCTGATGGAGAGCACCTACTAGCTCTGCTTCCAACATCGCCTTCTCAGAACAGAAGCGGGGCTCCCGCTTGATACTTCCTGAAAGCGACGACGCCCCAAAGTGGGGGGTGGCGTTTTGCGTCCCCCCCCCAAAAAAAAACGGCACCGAATGGAACCACTTCCGATGGCTTTTTCGGGGGAGCATTTTCTAAATGGTGGGGCCGATGTTGGAAGGACCGAAAACGCCCGCGCTGCAGCGGGAGCGCGATCTGGAACAACCAGAGTCGCAGAAATGGAGCCAACGCTTCAGCGGGAGCAACATTTTGAGAACAAATGCCAAGCGAAAACCCATTTCCCGGCAATCCTGTTCGTGAAAAGTATTGCGCGGAGAGGGGCCAGACATCTTCCGGACGTCATCAGGGGAGAAAGGGAAGTAGTATTCAGATTGTGTGATTGTGGAGGGGAGGAACATTGTGGTTCTCCTCCCTCCTTCCACCTCCCCCTCCCTCCGCCACAGGAGCTCAGGCGCGGGATCCTCACAGGCAGGGGGGTCCGAAGAGTCGTCAGATCACGGTGGAGACACTTCCACCGCACGAGGATGTCGAGTTGTAGGGCCACGACGCATCGGCACGTGTTGAACAAAATCATCGCCCACGCGGAAGGTCGGGCCGCCCTCGAGCGAGCATCCCCCTCCTCCTCTTCCTCCTCCTCCTCCTTTTCCTCCTCCCCCCCTCATTCCCTCTTCCTCCTCCTCATTATCCTCTTCCTTCTCCTCTTCCTCCTCCTCCTCCTTCTCCTCCTCCTCCATTCCTTTACCTTGTAAATGATTTCTCCCTGCCGCACCCCGAGGCCAGTTTTTAGGGCGGGCCGGACGTTTCGCCTGAGACTGCCTCACCACTTATGATAAAAAAAGATCGGCAACAATTTCACAGATTGAGGGCGGGTCGTTTTCAACATGTGGTTCTCGTCTTAGCGCCGCGCACACTCGCTTTAAACATGTGCGAGAGCTTCACGGATTGAGGGCGGGTGGTTTTCAAAATGTGGTTCTCGCCTTGGCGCCGCGCACAGTCGTTGTCAAAAAGTGCAAGAGCTTCACGGATTGAGGGCGGATGGCTTTCAAGTTGTGGTTCTCGCCATGGCGCCGCGCACGTTCGTTTTACGCATTTGCATGAGCTTCGCGGATTGAGGGCCAGTGAGTTTCAAAATGTGGTTATCGCCTTGGCGCCGTGCACATTCGTTTAAAATGATGTGCAACGGGTTTCACAGATTGAGGGCGGGTCGTTTTCAAAATGTGGTTCTTGCTTTAGCGCCGCGCACACTCGTTGTAACAAATTGCAAGAGCTTCAAGGATTGAGGACGGTTCCTTTTCAAGTTGTGGCTCTCGCCTTAGCGCCGCGCACATTCATTTTCAAAAGTCGCCAGCGCTTCACGGATCCCCATCATTAATGTACCAGAGATTGCGTTTTGGAAGGATTCAGGGCATGCGGGTGCAACAGGCATGTTGTTTCTCTGTGTTGAAGTCCTAGGAATGGCGTTCTGGTACGATTCAGGGTCGTCAAGACGCAACAGTCCGGTTGATTCGTGGCGTTGGAATCCCGAGAACAATGTTGTTTTGGCATGTTGCAGGGTCTTCAAACGGGTGTCTTAAAACGAGGCAGTTCCATCTATAGAAATAAACCGCTGCAGGGGCCTATGAAGAGGGAGCTTGGAGGGAGGGTCTACTCCAACATCGTTGACGACTCTTGGGTTTACATTGGTCCTCCTCCTCCTCCTCCTCCTCCTCCTCCTCCTCCTCCTCCTCCTCCTCCTCCTCCCCCTCCTCCTCCTACGCTTCCTCGTCCCCCATCCTCCTCCACCTCCCTCTTCCCTCCTCATCCTCCTCCTCCTCCTTCCCTCCTCCTCCTCCTCCTCCACCTCCTCCTCCTCCTCCTCCTCCTCCTCCCTCCTCCTCCTCCTCCCCTCCTCCTCCCTCATCGCCTCTTCCTCGCCTCCTCCTCATCCTCCTCCTACCTCCTCTCCTTCCTCTCCTCTCCCCTTCCTCCTCCCCTCTTCCTCCTCCCCACCACCACCGCCTCCTCCTCCTCACCCCGTCCGTCCCAGACATCCGCCGCCACGAGGCGGCCGCTTTGTCAACATGCTGGGCCTCTTTGGGCTTGCTTCTGGACCTCCTGGCCATCCAAAATTGTCTCGGGATGAAAACGGGCCCTGAGGTGCGATGCGAATGCGATGCGTGCGCGAGGAGGAGGAGGAGGAGGAGGAGGAGGAGGAGGAGGAGGAGAAGGAGGAGGAGGAGGAAGAGGAGGAGGAGGAGGAGGAGGAGGAGGAGGAGGAGGATGCTCGCGTCGCTGGCGAAATGTTGTACTCTGTGAGGGGGGCGGAGGGCATCGGAGCTTTGCTCGACTCTGCGCTCGGTTTCAGGGGCCTCACTCGAGTCGGACGAGCGGGGGGGGGGGGCCGGGAAAGGGCGGTTGCGAAACTTGCAGCGTGCACCTGGTGCTGGCCGCGCCGCGGGGCGCTCCCCTCGATGCATGGCCGCCTCCGGCGCCGCGAGGCGCCGAGAAAACCAGCTGAAGGAGCCGAGGTGCTGACCCCCGTACTCTGCTGCCCCCGCGCGTCTCGTGCGACCCGAGGGGCCGGGGAGGCCAGCTGCGCGCCAGAGAGGCCCCCCGCCAGGGTAGCCCGCGCCGGTGCGCTGGCCGCCCCGACTCCTGCCCTCGGTCTGCGGGCCGCAGCTCGGGCCTCCGGCGGCCGCTCGGGGGGGCGATCCAGCGGGCCTCCCGGGGACGCCCCCGGGGGAGGCGCAGCCGCTGGAGCCAAGCGAAGCCCGAGGCAGGCGCCGGCTGCACGCAGGAATCCCCCTCGCCGGAGTGGCCTCCGGTGCTGGCCCAAAGGGGGGGGGGGGGGGCGGGCCATGCCGCTCTGGGGTTGGGCTCGGCCTCGCGGCGGCGCACGCGGTGGGGACCGACGGGACCCCCGCGAAGCCCGCTCGCTGCCTCCCTCGCTCCGACGACAGCCGTCAAGAAACGGCGGAGAAGTCGATGCGCCAGATGTCGCGGCCGGCCCGCTCGTGTTCTGGAGAGGCGCCCACGGAGACGGAGATGGAGG